CAAATGAATTTCAAAAAAGTTAGAGAAACTTGACGGGAATTGTTTTTTTTTCAAGAATTTATCAAGAATCAACATGAGTAATCTCTAGTTGTACCATCCAATAAATTGAGATATTACAGTAATCTGAGATTGCTTACGGTACCATACAGTAAGAGCAACCCTCATTTCTAATGCTTGAATGAATTCCAAAAAGAATCAGCGAAATTTGAAACGAATTGATTTTTTGAAGAATTCTGTGACAGTTTAACATGAGCGATTCCTAGTAGGGTTATCGAGTAAAAGGACATATTTTGTTATTTTGATTTTAGACCCCTTACGATATAAAACGATGTCAACGGGTTACTACGTTACTAACATCTGGATGACCGTATTCGCTGTTTTTCGCCCGATTTATCCCTGCTTTCATGTGGTTGTCAAATCAAGGGCTGTCTCGAGTTGTTTGGACATCCTTCAAATTTGTGCATGTTATTTTCACGACGTCATATTCTATTACATCATACCGTAGAATATTGATAATATATTATTTATATCATTATTAACTCATTTATGATGTATTAATACATCACATATGTTTTAGAATGTCACATAACACAGTTCTTTGGGGAATGTTTCATATTTGATTTGATTCAAAACATACATTTTCGATGAATTATTATCTGAAATTACTTATTAGTATGTCCCAAAAAGTATTGGAATGTATTAACATATGACCATAATCACTATTATTAGTAATGTGTTGGATTACCAAAGTCAAATGAGCGTAGGTGATGTAGAGACCATTACCGGGCAATCACATACGCAGGGCCCGAGAATCCGATACGGGCTCGTTGGTGGCCTCAGCCAACCAAGTCTTCTATTCCTTAAGGGTCCGGATGACTGTTATCGGAATGGTTTGGGAGGATTAAAACTGACTTGGACATCGGTTAGCCACCGTAACTCATTGTAAAGGTCATTCACGCATTCAAAACACCGCTACGATTTTAAATCGATGTCAAATGCGGAGCGCATTCAACGAAGAGATGTATTACTCCATAGGCCCTTTTTCTTTGATATAATACTTGAATAGCTCAAAGGTGGCGTTGAACGAGGGAATGTGGCAGTCGTTCTGAGCCCGTCATTAATCTCACTCCATCGCTGTCATACTTTCGGGAATCGATCACCACCCTTCTCTCGAATGTTGCGGAATACAATCTTCAGCAAATAATCCTTTTACAAATTTGGGTTTAAGATTCTTAAAATCGAAATTGTAGGAGTATATATGGGTTCACGAGGAATATTTCCCAAAAACTTAGCAAAGTATAAGTTTTTTCTGGAAGGCTCTGGAAGTTCTCATGAAGATTTCATATTCTGGGCTTCTAGGCCTATTACTGGGTACAAATTTCGATATACTTCAGCAGCTGTTTCGCAGGATCAAGAAAATTGTCAAGAAAGAAAATTGAAAAATTTGTAAAAAAGTGGTTTTCAAATATGGGAGGACAGTTCTATACATGGGATCAAATAAGGAAGGGAAAGGGAGCCGCATATGTTGTGCGTATACATTTGGGTAGTTACCTCTTTTCTTGGAACCTTCAGAACGTTTCAGAAGAATCTGGACTATAACGGATGTAGTTGTTTTGCTCTAACACGGCATTACAACTTATTACTTCTTACAACCTCCACTAGGCCTCCCAGCGAATTGGAGTTGGCGGATTGAAGATATTCTTCGTGAAAATTGCTCATTTTCACCCCTCAAAAGAGTCAAAGGAGGAGGGACGGGATTGTCCTGACGAACATTTTTGGCTTCTTGGCTCTGACGAAGCCGAGACATTGGCCCAATAAAATATATTCCTTCTTGGCTGAGGCTCCACGGGATTACCAGTACAAAGTCATGTGTTTAAAGTCGTTTTAAGTAAGTTTCCAAAGGTTTCGAAAAAAAGTAGAATGCATACTGAAGTCTATTGTTCTGTGCTTGCATTCTCTTCTTCACATCATCGTCTTCTTCTCCCTAGCGTTAGTACCTCGCCGTCGGAGGTTCCGCTACTCTTGTCAGTCGTCTCCACTTCGTTCTACATCCTGCCGTTGCTTCAGTTTCGGCTAGCTCCTTCTTGATAACGTCCCCCTCTTCTTCTGAGCTTCCAATGTCCTACAAGAATTTGATTATCGCTGTGGATGACGTCAGAATCAGCTCCTCGAGTTTTTAAAGGTTCTTTCAATGTATGAGAATGTTCCATCTCATCTGAACGTTCTGGATAATCCGATCTTTTCAGCAGTTTCACCTTGCATCTTTATCTCTGCTTTCCACTGAGGGGCCTACCCAAACTCCTTTATGTTTGCACATTGAAGAGGGGTTTCATTAACATTTCAAACGGATCGCTTAACGCATTATCGGTACCTTTTCATAAGAGACTCGTTAGTTCAGCCGATTATTTTTTATCGTTTATTTACGAGCTCTTGTTCTCTCAAAACTGATTGAGATCCTTTTTGAGGCTTTTCACAGCAGAAGATGTGAATCACCCAGACTAATCTGACCGAATGAGGCTCTAGGCTCCACGTTACTCTCATATTAGCTTTCACATTTACTAGATTAGTTTTCTGTGTTCATTCGTGGCAAACATTGACGTAGTTTGACGCTAACCAGATATAGAATTGATGTGGGCAGCTTCCGTTCCAAGTACCTACGTCAATTACTAAGCAGACATCTTTTCCGTCCTTTCGAGAGATGTTTGTCGTCAGCGTTGTAGACGAGTGTGGGTGAAGCAGGCCAACAAGTGGCTCTAAAGCTATTTTACTACCTACTTTTACTTTTTCCGATGTGACGTCAGTTCTGAATGTAGCCAGAACGAAAAGAATAGGGCAGATACTGCTTCCGTCAAGAGCTTCTGGTGTTACCTCATGCAGATTTTTGAATATTTCCATATCCTGCTTGCTCAACCTTTCCGCCCGAAAACGTGGGAGTTGAGAGGGCATCGATTCTGAGGAGTTACTGTCTTCGTTTTCTTTTTGATCCACTGGTCCAGATGCTAACTTCAGTATGTATCAGATTGTAAAAGGGCGCTGGATCCGTTTAGAAATAGAAATCGGCGAACACCAACACAATTGCTTTACCGCTTGCGCCGTTGACGAGGCGCCAGACCTTTTATTAGATTTCAAAAGCAATTAGGGGTGTGAAGGTAGTTTGTGAATGCCGCCACGCCATTCAGTACTGAGCTCAAGCTTTTCCCCGAATCGGATGGCCCCGTTTATTTTTATTTCGATGCTGGTTTAAGCAGATGCAGTAGTGAGCTACGGAGACTCTATTTTTAGACGAAGGGATGGCTAAAAAACAACTCCGAATGCTCGTAGTTTTAACTTCAATTTCCCAAAGGGTTTAACCGACTTGCTTGGAAATATGTCTCATACTCGTTGCCGAGGCTCATTGTCGAGCGAGTTTTTGGTGCTCGTCTTGAATGCATGGGGAACACATTCACGCGATGCCAGCAGCTGGATGGGTTGAGTACGACCAGCTCATCACACTTCAGCCCTTCCGGCCCCCGCAAATTTATCTGATCAGTTTATGATTAAATAGCGATCCTATGCCAAACAGGTTTTTCAATTAGGGAACAACAAACAAACAAATGCTCAGATTTCAAGAAAGGCGATCATGAAATTTATTTGATTAATTTCACTGGCTAATGGGTGATTCTTGATGCTATCACTGGTAGAGATTGAGTAGCGCACAGGAGCATATTTTACGGAACAATCAGGATAAATAGCTCTTTGAAGCTCATCCAGACGCCACTGTGATTCTGAATTGAAGTCGATGCGAGAACAATGAAAAGGGGCTGATTAATGCTAAAGGACGTTGAAAGGTTAAGTACAAAACTGGGAGTTGTAATGTCCCGCCAAAAACTTTATATTTGCGTCTCCATAAAACTTCTCGAATTTTTAGCATTTTGGGCAAATAAGATGGTCAGTAGGGTGGAGGAGGGCAGTGGCAACTGGCACGCTCGCACTAGGGGTGGTCACTGGTTTGATTCCTCGGAGCCAACCAAGCCTTCCACCTATCTGAGGGTTAGGAAACTGGAACCGTCTGGAAGAATAAAAGCGCTAGCCGTACATGGATGGCCACCGCAAATCATTGTATAGGATACATACGCATGCAATACGCCACCACAATTCTGAATGAAAGTCGAATGCCAGAGCGCATCCCTGAGACGGGACTGATCAACGCCCAGAATTTTTATCCTTTATCTTCAGGATCTTGGCCAGGGAATATCACATATTTAATCCGAATTTTCTCTTTCTGATAGCCTTTCGTTTAGGCAGACTGGTAATATCAGTTTTGTTCGAATCTTTTCTTCCCTTTGTAGCAATCCCCCTGCTCAAGCGGACTCAGAAAATGACAGGCCTGATTTGTCTGAATACGATCTGACCCCTGGATTTTGCCAGCTGAATCTATCCTTTCACAAATTAGCAGTAATGAATGTCATGTCTCTTCTTTCCCAATGAGCAGTGAGCACTTTCAGGTGATCAGTTGCAACCAGAAGAATGTCTGTACACTCGAAATCACTGACACCACGGGAAGTCACCAGTTTCCGGCTATGCAGCGATTGTCGATTTCCAAGGGACATGCTTTCATTCTTATCTACTCAGTCACTAGGTTTGTCGTACTATTCTTTCCATCATAAAAAATCACGAAATTACAAGTTACCGTAATGGAGTGCATTCAGAGGGATTCAGTAGGGCATTCAGCAACTATGCTTGCAACTGGACATACAAAAGGAAATTGGTCTAATGCCCCATTTAAATGGAATAGATTCCACTGGTAAGGGACCAATGGTCTCAGTATTCACTGTGACGCCATTGCTAGGCTTTATGAAAAGTGTTCTAAGAGTGGGAACATACTGACTAATATGTGGAGCCGGTGATCGAACGGCTTTAGCTGAAGCCGATCGAACATCTTCCGTCCGGGGGACGGAACGGTTACGTGACTACTTGAACTTTCTCTGCGTCCCTGACGGCAAGAAGCTAGAGCGCAGAGAAAAACACCCCGGGTGAAGCCTACGGCGGTGGTGGTGGGGGTC